AGTGTGAGGCAGCTTGCTCATGTGAGCTAGAGGGATGGAGTCATAGCTGCTGCTCAAGAGTGAGGGGGCAGGGCTGCCGTGCGCAAGAGGAAGAGGAACGGGGCCCGCCAGGCCAACAGGGTGAGGTCGCCACTCAGGAACTAGGGGACTAGAGTCACCCAACGAAGAGATGCGTGCAGATACCACCCACTGATGACCTGTACAGGTGCAAGTTGACAAGGGGTGGAATTGTGGTGGTTCTTTAACACCAGCCACTCCTCAGAAGGAAGGTTGGGCAATCTACTTCCATAGTGATACCACCTCAGAAACCCAAGGAGGGGTTGCTATGAGTTGGGTCTGACTCGATGGCACATAACAACAACAGTTATAGATTTAGGGCAAGAATGACAAGCTCTTTCCTAGAGTATCATATCTGAGACAATGTTTAAAAAAGCGGGGGGGAGGGCTGTTTACTTACAGATTATGTCCCAGTAAACACTTAGTAAAGGTACATAGCAATGTCTCAGTAAAGATACCTGCTCATCACCCTCTAACCCAAGTGAAAATACTGTATTTTACTTAAGTGATTGCCTCAGTATTGAAAGTTTAATAATCATTCAAAGAACGAAAATTGTATTAAACAGCAAAAAATACATTATTATTCTTAATGGAATAATTTCAAATGATTGATAAAACATGTAAAATATGAAATATTTTAAGCTACAATTGTTTGGGCACATGTGTGTGTCTTTTAAAAATCTATGGTCAATCTCGGAAGGAAGACTGGGCAATCTACTTCTGTAGATAATGCCTCAGAAACCCAAGGAGGGGTCACCATGAGTCAGATCCAACTGGACAGCAGTGAGATGGTCAATCTGACAGAGAGCCTGATAAGACTCCCAAAGCTATGGCCCCTACCCACCCTTCAGGCCTGGGATTGAAATCACTCCTGTGGCTTCCAGCCAAACTGACAGGCATATAGGGTGAACATTTACACCAAGTAGATACACTCCTTAGGATGATCAATCATGGGAGACCAGAAAGGTAGTATTTGCATGTGGAGATAGCTCAGGGGGCAGGAATGCACAGGAAAGGACACAGATAAGAGGTAACTACAGGGAGAAAATGGGAAGAAAGCTGTTACATTTGGAGATTGCAGTCAATGTCATGAAACAAAATGTATGAACTACTGTATGGAAAATTAATTTGCTTTGTCAACTTTCACCCAAATCACAATAAAAAATAATAATCTGTGCTCAAGAAAACTGAGGTTATCAGGTATAAATTCTTTTAATTTCTAATTCCTCCCATTATGTCCCTCCATACTTACCAGTATCCCCAACTCAACCAGTATACAATTATTTTGATATATTTTGCATTGTGAACCTATTCCTATTCGTATTTCTACACTTCCCTGATTCTTTCAGTTACTTACTCATCAACATACACTGCATGTATACAGGGGAGCCATTATCAAATACACTGAAAAATCTCCATCATCTGTTCAGATCTTTCCTCCAGTCTTAGAAGGAGTATTATCTCATGCTCTCACCTCTTCTGAGATCCTGTGGCATAAAAGAGCCCCTCACTCTCCACCATCTTTAGTCTCTATCCAGTTCTTTCCCTTCAGCCTATAAACATATTTAAGTCCCTCTCATTTTAAAAATAAGGAGCACACTGCCTAAGGCATCTGACTGCTAACCACAGGTTGGTGGTTCAAACCCACCAGCCACTCCGCGGAAGCAAGACTGGGCAATCTACTTCCATAAAGATTTACCACCTCGGAAACCCAATGGGGGTCACTATGAGTCAGAATCTACTTGATGGCAGTGGGTTTGGTTTTTGGTATTCTAAAAATATCTTTACCTTACTCCATTTCCTCTTCTCATCCAAACTTCTTCAAAAAGTAGCCTATATTAACTGTCTTCATTGTACCTCCTCTGCCTGTCCCCTCAACGTACTGCAATCTGGCTTTCTTGTTCACTGAATTGAATTATTCCAAGGTTGTTGTTGTTGTTGTTATGTGCCGTCGAGTCAGCCCTGACTCATAGCGACCCCTCCTTGGGTTTCCGAGGCAGTATCACTA